ATTATTATTATTATTATTATTATTATTATTATTATTATTATTATTATTATTATTATTATTATTATTATTATTATTAACTATTACTATTTATTATTATTAATTATAATTTTATATACTTGATTTTTTATCATATGAATATACAAAATGATTTTTAATTTTATTATTTAGTTTTTTATAAATTATGAGTTTTCAATTTTTTTATATTTTAATTAAAAACAAATATTAAGAAATTTAATATTGCAAACTCATTTTTTAAATAAATACTTATTATATATAAATTAATTTTAAAAAGTAAATATATATACAACAAAACTATACTTATTATTTATATTTTAGAATAAAATTTTTCTATTATAATAGTCTTAAATAATTTAATTTGAATTTTATAATTACTCTTAACTTTTTTATAAGTATTAAAAAAATATTCTTAATAATAATAACAAAAATTATATTTAATATATTATAATATGAATTACATATTAAATTTATAAATATATTTACATTTAATTTGATTTGAATTAGTAAAATAATTAAAAAGCTATATATAATAATTCTATATAATACTAATACATAAAGTTATATTTAAAATAGAACAAAATACTATTATTATTTTTAACAAAAATTTCATAATTCAATAATTTTTATAATATCATAAATTATAATATATTATAATTTTGTTTGATAATATTTATAATAATTTGAATTTTTTAATGTTATACAAGCAGGTTTTGTATTTATTTGATATTACACAATCAAATTTGATTATATTTTCAAAATATCACTTTTTTTATTAATAATTAAATTAATTATCAATAAATTACATTTTTTTTATATTTTAACATTTATTTTCATTTTTGTATTTTTCTTTTCTTATTCTATTAATATATCTTATTTCCAACAAAAATATTCTTAATTTGAATTTTATTATTTTTAATCAATTATATTTTATTTCTCATTGTATCTTTATTCTCATTATTATTTTTATCTTTATCTTTAATATTGTCATTCCTTAAAATTTATCTTATATTATTCAATTTTTCTTTAGAATTTTTCTTTTTACTGTGCCCTTATAATTTCTCTTATCTTTAATTACTTAAATTCATATTAATTTTATCTTTTCTCTTATTTTATGTAATTTCTTATTTAATTTGCAATTTTTGTTCTCTTTTATTATTTAGTATTATCTATAAATAATGATATAATTTAGAATTATTATTAATCATGTAAATTGAAGTAACTATTGAAAATGTATAAAAAAAAGAATCTCTCATCACTAAAAACTCTCATTCTCGGATCTAATAATAGTAACAAAGTTCTTATTGTAATATTATACTTGTGAATATACTATTATTTTCTTAATTATCTTCAAATCTTAACTCAAAGTAGTGAATGCTTCTCCACTCTAAATAGCCATTGACTTTAATATTTTTGTTTATTTTGATTTTATTATTTTTAGACCATATCAATAAGTCCTGTTATTTTATTTTCTTATTTGGCAGTCTCAATAAGTCCAATTAATCTTTTTATTTTATTAGGCAGTCTCAATAAGTCCTGTCATTTTCTTTAATAGTTATTCTATTTTATTTTATTTTATTTTATTTTAATTTATTATATCCTTTTCTTTAATTCTCCTCTTTGTCCCTATATTTATTTTGGATAGTAAGTTAGTGTACAAGCTACCACAGGAGACCTTTAGAACCTTTAGTTAACCCCATTAATCATAAATTATTCAGTCTTTGCTCTTTCACTGTTATGTTACTATTCCTGAATTAACGAGAACAATACGTAATTCAGCTATTTTCTATTACACTACCAACCTCGTTAAGCCGAAGCACATGTACCGGTACATGTACTACATGTAATTAAAACTCACATAAACCAAATTTGATTCTTAGAACAATTATAGTAACCCCATCGATAAATAGAAGAACAGTAAATCGATTTTTACCACTTCGGTTAGAGTTTGGAACTGGTTTTATGTATTGTGTATCTAAAACCGGTTTTATAATAGCGATAGGAAAAATTAAACCGGTCCAAACTCGATTGACTGCGTATAATGACAGGAGAAAAGTTTGTAACACACTTCAAAGAAGAAGGCTTAATATAGCGATGAATATCGATATAATTGTCAAAAAAAAACAAATACATGTATATTATACATGTATCGATATATTTAGCATTAGTTTTAACATCCACCCTATTAATTCACCAAAATTACAAGGAATAGTTCAGCACGGGAAACAGGACAAATTTCATAGCCACGTTTCAGGCATAGTTTTTTAGCACAGAGATGGCACGAATTTTTCAGTCCGTACTTATGCGTGTGGTTCCGTGCTAAAAAATTATTTATGCGTGCTGAATTTGTCGCGATTCCCGTGCTTGTACCTTAAATATAATACATGTACTTTTAAATTTCCTAATAGTGTGGCAACAAAAAATAGTAAATTCAATAAGGTGACAATAACGATAATAATACTGCAGTATCTTTGAAGGTAATCAAGGTGACTAAACAGTCGTATAGTGATAAAGAATAAATCTATTTCGGCATTATTTATTAAATCTCACTAGTAAACATGTACTGTATTTATTGCTAGATTAATTACGATAAATGAAAAACAAAATACGTACATGCGTCCAGATTTTTTTATTGATAATGTCAATACATGTACGTACGTACGTATAAAATTGTTCAGAACGAGAATGCAGGGTGTGTTTATGAAACAAAACAAATGCAGTCAATTTCTGATTGCTATATCGATATTAAAAATTCTCGCTGCTTTATACATGTACTTCAGAGAGATGGAAAGAAAGAAACAAGAGAATACAAGTTACTACCAATTGAATTGTATCACTTGAACGTGAAATAATGAAAAGGAAATTATTATTTCATGCACGCACAGAAAATATACGCAAAAAGATAATAAAGTAAGCAGCAGAAAAATAAAAGTTCTATAAAAAAAGATCAATAGAATTTCCGTATTAAAAAATCCTCTCATAATTTCATCCTTTTAGCAACTCACTATCCAATAATGCTTAGCTGCTTAAACCCCTTAAAGAAAGCTATTAATGATAAAGTTGCGTGGCGCGAGACAGAGCCAACCATAATAAAAGTTATCAAAGAGATATTTTTATGGCTGGTTTATTTAGGATTGTTTGGCTATTTAGTTACATTGTTTTATAAACTAGTAAACGATAAACCATTGCAAATTATTACCTCCGACTATAAGTCAGAAATTAAACCACCACGTAAGAAAAGATAATTTTTATTTTTTCTCTTAATGCACATGTATTTACGTATTTTTAATATCAAGAATGGAACTATAATAACTTTTATTATAGAGATCCTGTTTTATGCCCCTTTTGAATTTGAAGTAGATTGTACCTTCTTATATGTGGCATATGGGAACGGTGAGTAATCTATTATATTACGTGTTATGTTGTCTAAAGGTTACTACTATCATAAATTTATAAATTTTTTATTTTGTGATAATTCTAGAAACCAGACCAAACTCCAATTGTTCAACTAACCTATCGGACATAAAATTTAATCCAGAATCGAATGAGTACAATGTGGCGTTTTACACATACAACGATAATGATAACTTCTCTAACTTCATTGATGGGCTCAGGTTGATTGAGTTTAATCTCTTATTAACTAATTCTTCGAAAGGTTCCATTAAACCTGATGCGCTCTTGTATGCTGACTTGTTTGATCATGGTAAATTTAAATGCTCAAATATAATTGGAATGCCCGAATATAAATTTGAATTCTCTATAAATATCTCTTAGATTCGAATTTGGGAGTTAGTAAAAAGAATATAATCAATTACGATCTGTTTGAGCAGCTTTATAAACAGAATGAGTATTTTCTTTCTCCACACCAGGTACGAATATAATAAAAGAAATTGTGTTTTTATAATGCCCATAATTTTCTAATAGATTTCATAATTTTCTATAATAATATTGATTTTTTAGATGAATTTAATCAGTTTCAAAAGATTCAAAAATGCAAGTCTTTCGGATAATCCAAAAAATGTTTTTGGAGCCCCTCCACCTGCTTATCATGATGATTATTTCATTGAAACAAAATTTCGTAAGTTTCATTATTAATATATCATATTGTAATTTAATTTTAATCTATTGCTTTAAATTTAATTATATAACCAAACTATTATTTTAGAAACGGTAAATTTTCCAAATCAAACGTTTCAAGAATCTTCTTATTTGACTTTGAGGATAAGTCTGTTAACATACGAAGAACAAACCATAAAACAACAAAGGTATTTATTTATCAGATTAAAATGTTGCAGTTGAATATTTTTTTACTAAGCGTAAAATTTAATATTATCAATATATCTTTTTTGGTAATATTAAAGAAATAAGGACGTAAGTTTTTGATCTGTGTAAATTGTTTCTTTAGATAATCAACCTATAATTAAATTTTAATAATTTAGCTCCTAGGCTTGGTTAGTGCTTTTGGTGGTGCTTTCGGCCTTAGCATGACCGTTTATCATCTGCTCTTTGGTATGTTTATTTCTTAATCTTTTTTATTTTATTTAATTAAGTTATAAAATCCTTTTCTAAAATATTAAAAATAAATAGGAATGGGTCGAATAAAACCATGGGGTATCTGCCAAAACTGCTTCAAAATCAGAGGGCCAGTTCAAAAAAAGCTAATTACAACACTTGGCCCAAAAATACCGACTGTCCCTGATGATGACCCAAAACTACCAACTGTCGCTGGTGATGACGAAAAAACGTCAGTTTCTGTGGAAGATAGACTCGACAAATTAGAATGGCTCTTACGTGAATATATTCTAGACAATTCGTATCTTGCTAAATCTCAAGAAAATATGAAAAATGGAAAATCATAATG